ACGAACTGTAAAAGTGCTCTCATTTTTTACTTTGATATTTTCTTTATTTATAGTGGCTTTAGTATCATTATATTTTTACCCCACTTAAAAAAGATCTATACTTGGGTATTTATGATATTTTACATGCATAAACTTATCGACTGACCGCCTTCTAGCACAGTCCACCATGCTTAGTTGATTTTGGGTCAATGGGGTCAGCTCGATCAATAGAAATTGGTCGGTGTGGTCGGATCAACTGATCCAATCTGGTTGGCTATCCTCGGTCTCTGATGAGAATCCTTTGGAATCTCCACGGGAATGTTGTTGAACTAGATCTTCCTTTGGATCGTTTCTATCAGGGTGTAGGCTATTGCTTCGAGTCGGCTTTTCAATAGCAATTGACATAGATAATATTTCATCTCGTTTTCGATTGGATGGCTCTTGCTTGAATCATTTTGTCATCTTTTTATTCGCCTCGTGGCTCAATCAATTATAATCCGATTGGCTTAGCTCATTCAATCAAGTGGTCCCTCAATCTCTTGGCAATAGGCTTGCCTTCATCATACTTTTTCTTCTAGACGTTTAGATCTCCTTGAGATCGGTGCAGATACATTTACGAGGTATGATATATGTAATTAAATACTATATATAGGTATATATATATCTAAACTTTATGACGCATATGTAAACCCTTTATTATTGTGTTAGAATTTATCTAAAATCAAATCAAAAAATTTTAGAAGTCGATCTTGCAAGCAGATGACGTGGCACTTGATTTAAATGCAAATACGTGGGTCCCATAATTTCGTACTTTATGGGTGATGATTTGGGTACAAACGGGAGAAGGAAATCCTGCGCCATTTTACTTCATAATTTTGAAAGCTCATTTAACTCAATAAAAAAATAAATAAATAATATAAAATCAAAGTAAAATCACAAAAAAAAAATAAAAAATAAAGAATAATTACATACAGAACACAAGAAACATTATTATTTATAAATCAAGTTACCTAGATGATTTTTTGAACTATCAAATTGATGCATTTATCATTATGAATTTGATAAAAATGAAAAATATGGGCGGGGGTTTTAGCCTGACGTTTGATATTTGAGTGAGAAATTGAAAATAAATGATAGAGGATGACTGATTTGTAAATAACAATTTTTTGAGTGTCATGTGTGTAAATGACCCCAAATATTAAGCTTAGGGGAAAATCTCATTGCCCAACGGCCCTCTTTGTTTCTCTCCCTCTCCCAATCTCCTTTACTCGGTCACAGTGTTCTATTCTTTGGACATGATTTATCAAACAGATTTGGATTCAACATCCTGAAATGTTCAATGAGCATACATCATGTCGACAAGTAGAAGATGAGCAACGCCGAGGAGAATTCCTCCACAGGAACTTGCACAATTCATTCCATTTATTCCTTGCAATCGGCATTCTTCATGTAACTCCATCTCTTTTTCCAACATATATGCTCTCCACTTTCTAGATCTGGAGATCGCCTACGCTTTTGCATTCTTATCGTGCAATAAATTTGCAGTGACGGTCCCCTAGAAGTTCCTCACCAAATAGTCGTTTGTCCCTTAGCTGACTTGCCCTCTCTTCCGCATGAACATCATCCACAATGGTCGTGTGTTATTGAGAAGATGCTCAGCTCAAATGTTTGAAGTCATAATAATGATTGTGTTATCGAAATCCATAATCTCTCCCTGACTACCAGTGAGAAAGTTGTCATCATACACTTGTAGCAAAAGTGTTGAAGACAAACATATGTTCCTTCTCCACTTTGTGGAAAGGCATGAAACTGTAAAGCCTCTTCCACACAACCTTAGAGGAGCCTTTCTCACTGACTGATTTTTTTCTAGCCGGTTGCCACTTCACCAATTGACCCAAACATTTTTTTGCGAGTTGGTAGCCACTCGAAGTATTAAAAAAATACTATTATTTTCATTTAATTAGACACATTTATAATTTTAATAATTATTATTCCGACTCTAATTACTTTTTAATATTTCTTATTAGTCATCTAATTATTTTTTCCCTTAATGAAATCATTTTAGTTCCAAAAAACTTTATAAGAGTGTTCACACAAGCATTAATTCTCCAAGCATCTAATTCGAACCGGTTCAATTATTGCTGTATGGTTCGAGCTGAACCGGACCATTATTGGGTCAATTTATGGGCCCGTACTATTACTATAAATATATGGAGAGCTTCAGAAAAGTCATCGAGCCTAGCTGTCATTTGGAATAAAGAAGGAAAGCCTGGATACACATGCCATTGCCTTTTTCCGGTTTTAAATAATATTTATTTATTGGAGAATATTATGCCTTTAGTACATTTAAAGGGAAAAAAAAATATTATATTTTTAATTTTTTTCTTATATTATTATTTCTCTTATTTAAAAATAGATTTGAAAATAGGGAGGATTGAAAACTAGCACTTGAAACATTGCTATTTACGAAAATAGCACCTCCTTCATAAAAATAAAGCGGGAGGTTCAGTTTTTTTTTAATAATAATAATAATAATAATAATAATTAGGCTTTTAAGCTTGGATTTAATCTTAAAGGGTCCAAATTTTCATGCTAATTATAAAATTCTATTTATGTATTTTTAGTCACAAAAACTAACTATTATATTTAAATATTGATATCTAGGACAAATGCCAATAGTTACGATATTAAAATATTTATGATATAATTGGAGCTATCATGCATGGTATTAAGATAGGGTGACTCCCATTCTCCCATTTGATTTATATTTGGGGCATTTACATATATACCGCCTAATTACTAAAGAATTACACATCTAACGTCTAAACTTTTCTTTTTATATTTATACCGCCCAAAATTTTGAGAGCATATAAAAAAATATTATTATTTTAACTAAAAAAAAAGAAATGCACCTTCTCATGCATAGTTAAGTGGATGTTTATGTAATCATTGATGTAAATTTATAGTAATTGATTAGTATGTATGTAAATCAAATAGCAATGAAAAATTTAGATTGTGAAAAGTGAAAACCGGAGTAGATCTCGAAACAGAAGAAGGAAATATTTTCTTAGAAGAAATATTCAAGATTCAAGGATTAAACCAGTGCTAAACCTGATATTAGACTGAACCGAGCGACGTAACAATTATGATATTTTAATATAATTTTTATTTATTTAGCAAATAGTATTTTAATTTAATACAATTTTTTTGATTATTCAAACAATATTCTAAATAAAAAATATTAGACATAATATTTTCTTTATTTTTAATCTAAATATCTTATTTTTGGCCGGACAATATTTTAGCCATTATGTTTTTTTAAAAACTAGGTTGGTTTGTCGATTCAAACCCAATTCTGATCAGTTCAATCTCAGTTCCATGCAAAAATGATTCTGATAGTGGACCGAGATGATTGGACGATCAATTCACGGCTGAACCTGTAGGTTCAGTCCGGTTCTTAAAACCATAAGTGAAAACCAAATTATACATTTAGAAATTATAGGCCCCCATTTAAAGGAACCCAAAATTATAGGTCAATAACAACATGAAATCTTTTTGAAAGCATCATCACTTAAAAGCCAAAATTCAATGCATGTTTTCCTCTTAGCATCCCCACAAATTTATTGTCATTATGGAAGGTTAACATTTTGGACCATACTTTTTCTTGTTTTTACATCTAACCACATTACTTTCCTCATTGTGGTAAATATCCAAAAAAAGAAATTAAAGCCTTTTAACCAATTTCACTGCTTAAATTCTTCAGTTTAGAATATTTCTATATGAAATACTAATTGATAAATTAGTGTATGCTTAATAGATATTTATATGTTTAAATTTGAATTAAAAAAATTTAGAAAATAATGATTTTATTTTCAGCCATAAATGAGTGAAATTGAAAAAATATATTATTTTTATAAAATGCAAAATAATGTTAATTTTTAATTACATTCTATTGAACATGAGAAATATTTTGATTTTTTTTTATAAAATTTTTTAAATAAATTTATTTATTTATTTTAAGCAATCAAATGGAGCTTATGAAAGAATAATTCAGTTAAGTTATCAATTTAATCAGGTTAGGACAATATTAATTATACTCGTGTCATAATTAATAAATAGTATGGTACATGACCAATTTAAAAATGAAAAAAAATATTAATTTATTTCTAATAAAAAGATTCTATGAAAATAAAGATAATAATTATTTGACTAATACTAACTAAGAAAATTATTTTTAAATTTTATGATGGAAAATATGTTTTTATCATTTTAATTACAGTAAATATCATATTTTTTAAGTTTTTTTTGTAACAAAGTCAATAAATTATTATTTTATATTTTAAATAAATATATTTAAATATTTTTAAAATTTAAATTATTATAAAAAAATATTTATTATTGCTAGATTGAAAATAAATTAATCAATGGTATAATTTAGGTGAATAATATCACGTCCAGTCATACAACTGTTTCATGCCGCATCGGTGTCAGGACCTTCCAACGCAAATTTTTCCTTGACAAAAATCAGAATAATATGCTTTAAATATAATTATGGCCGTGTTTTATATGTCATTTCATCAAAATTAAAAAAGGGTTTTTACATATGTACCATTCATAATATTGAAATTGATATTTATGTAAGATAATATTAAAAGCTTATATATATAATTATATTTTAAACCTTTCAGATGTGGCTGTAAAACGTCGACTTTGTCAGTTTTAACCCTGTTTCTTTGCTTTCGCTGCCCTGCATGTTGGAAGAAGTATGAACATGAAGTATAAGAAAAGAAACGGAAAAAAAAAAAAGGTTTTTGGAGATGAGAGAAGCTTCATCTGTAAAGTACGGGTACTGTAATTCAGTAAAAATCGAGTTTTTAGGAAAAAAATGGTCGTTGGAGAAGGGCCAAGCGTCCTCGGTACTCTCCCCTTCTCTCCACTGCTACTAACTACTACCATGCCCCCACAACGCATGCCTTCTTCACGCTGCAAACACCGGTTCTCCGGAACTTTTTGTGTGGTTATCTGATCTTCGTCTCCGCGGCTCCATCTTCTTCTTCCTGGAATTCTGATTCTTGGTTTTGGTTCGAGGTTTTATGGTTGTGCGAGAGTGGAGTTTGGGGGGTTGGTGACAGAATGACGATTGAGAACGGGGAGGATTGCTGCGTGAAGGTGGCGGTTCACATCCGGCCGCTCATCGGCGATGAGAGGATTCAGGGATGCAAGGATTGCGTTACAGTCGTCTCCGGCCAGCCGCAGGTGCGCGATTTTGGGCTTTTGTTCTGGATTTCATCGTCTTCTATTCATTGATTGATTGGAGATCTGGGAGTGAAAAGTTGATTTTTTATTTATTTATCTCCAATGGATTTGATCGATTTGATCTCTCCTTGAATTCGAATTCACTTAAAACACGAGGGCTGCTTAGTTACTGGTATTGGCATCTGATGGAATTTATGGAATCCCGAGATTTGCTGAGAAATTGTTTTCGGTTTTGTTATCTCTGATTGCTTGTTGAGGATCGAATTGGTAGTTGTTTGTTCCCAAATTCTCAGTGGATGCAAGAATAAAAAATAAAAATCCCTCTTTTCTTGGTTTTTTTATTTATTTATAAACTTTCTGCAAAATACTCTTTTTATTTTCCGGCTATATATTTTGGGAAATTTCAATGTTCTGATTTCCTGTTTCAAAAACTCAAAATTTTGATCAGAATAATTTGGCATTCTCCATTCTTTGCTCCCATTTTTTCTTCTCGTTTTTCTTTCTTCTCTGCATTTGATATGGTTAATAATGAATCCTGATCCTGATTTTATCAGTATTTGGTTCATTCTGCTTTTCTTCATCAAATGTTCTTTTATTTTCTTGGATTTTGTTGTTCTTGTTATTCCATTTTTACACCTAAATTGTAAGAGATTGATCTTCAAAAACCTGATCTTTATATTTCCTCTTCCAAGTGAATTATTCAGTTGGATGCTTATTTTTCTGTTAAAATTGTGATTCAATTTTCTTCTGGATTAGTAGTGATTCTCCATTGTTTCCATCTACTTCTTCTCTCTACAGATACAAATTGGCACTCATTCTTTTACTTTCGACCACGTCTACGGCAGCACTGGTTCTCCACCGGCAGCCATGTTTGAAGAACTAGCTGCTCCGCTCGTCGACAGCTTATTCCAAGGATACAATGGTACAGTCCTCGCTTATGGTCAGGTTAAGTCCTCTTCATCTCAAATCTGTCGTAATTCTCTTGAAGAAATGTTGAAGTAGCACTATGTGGATATATGTGTAATTTAAGCCTTGCGAGAAGGGGGAAAATCTGAACTTTTTGAGGTGTAAACAGACTGGTTCTGGGAAAACATACACTATGGGAACTGGAGGCAGAGATGGATCTCAAACTGGAATAATCCCACAAGTTATGAATGCATTATTCCACAAGATTGAAAACCTCAAACATCACACTGAATTTCAGCTGCGAGTCTCGTTCATTGAGGTGAGTCAAAGCTTCTTCTTTTCTCTTTTCCAGTTTATTCTTTTATTGTTTTTTTCTTTCTTTTTGATTCATGTTATGCATATATAGGTTTGTAGCATTCTCATTTGTTGTGTTACTTAGGGGCTATTAGGGATCACTTTTATTTTTTATTTTATTTTGTTTATGTTTTGATTTGAAACAAAAATATGTTTGACACATTCTATTAAGATATGTTGTTGTTTTTAATAACACTCAAAACACCTAATGGGTCTTTTGGGACCGCTTTTGTTTTTTATTTTTTATTTTTATTCTGATTTGTTCATGTTATGATTTTGAACAAAACATGTTTAGCTATTTGATTTAAAGATGGTTGTTTTTAAAAATATTCAAATTTTCTAAGAATTGTGTTGAGTGTTTTAATAAATGCTAAATTATTTTTAGAAACAAAAAATAAACCCATATAAAAAATATACTAAGCAAACATGTTACTAAAAACAAAAACAAAAACAAAATTATTCCCAAACAAGCACTAAAAGTTGTTTTGAGTGTTTCTAAAAACAAAAAGTAGAAACATGTAAAAAATACACTAAACAAACACGTTTCTTAAAAATAAAAGTTAACAAAAACAGAAAAAACAAAAACAAAAAACAAAATTGATTGCAAATATTCCTTCAAAATTGATATTAGCCTTTTTCATAGCCTTTTACTTCTTTGGTTCTAAGGATATAATTCCTCTTATGGAAAATAAGGTAATTAGGGAAAATATTTCGTGCTTCTAACTAAATTCAGCATTTGGTTATCAACCCATTGCTTAAAAGCATATATATGGTATTTCAGACTATTTTTCAAGCATAGATAAAACATTTATGCTACTATCACCTCAAGTTGAAAGTGTAAAACCATAATGACTAACCAAGCAATGGGACTAACTTGAAATAATATGATGTGAAGGTTTTGAAGGAAGAAGTAAAGGATCTATTGGATCCTGGATTGGCAGGAAAAGTTGAGCCCGGCAATATGCATGTTGCTAAGATTGCTATACCGGGGAAAACCCCGATACAAATCCGAGAGGGTTCGAATGGAGTCATCACTCTTGCAGGGTCTACTGAAGTTGATGTTCGAACCAAAAAGGAAATGATTGCTTGTCTCGAGCAGGGTTCTTTTAATCGTGCAACCGGAAGCACCAACATGAATAACCAATCAAGGTAAATTACTTTTGTTACTTCCTTTATATTGAATATTTTTTATGACCATAGAATTGAATTTGTTACAAAGAGAGGCCATATGTTTTCTCCTACACAACCAATTGGATTCATGAGCAACTTAGTTGTTTTAGGAATCCAAACTAAATTAAGTACTTTAACAACTATATAAAGTTACAGATATTTGAAATTGAGTAAGATTTTTAGTTTCTTAATATTTTATTATTGACTCTTTATGAGTGGCTATTTATAGCTATAAATAGTTATAAATAGCCTTTATAGTCTCAATAATGGGGCCATAACAATTTTCTAATCTTGTTAAATTTTAAGGGTTTGTATTTCATAATAGTTAACATACCAAAGCTTTCTAAGGCCTAAAAATACTTGCTTCCTACTTCTACATACACTACTTTTTTAATTACCTTACTATTTTCAATCATGCTTCTCATTTAATAGTTCCTCTTTCAATCCTTATTTTTCTATTACTATTTACTAATTGACCTAGCTTTCTTTGTTGATAGTAATATATGTTCTCATTTGACTCTTAGTTTTTTTTTTTTTTTTGGTTGTATTCTTTCCCCTCTGTCATAATCTACATCTATGCACTCTTTATTGCTTGAAGATTCTTTTTAAACTACCATTGGCATTTAGCAATATTAGTAGTGTCAAGAAATTACATTTCTGACTCTCCGAAGTCGATACATTTGAATGAAAATTTAGTCTCTAATTTTGTGATGTCTACAATTCTCTTACTCAGTCAACTACCACGCTATTTCAGTAGATTAATAGTCTAATACTCGCTTTTTAATATTTATTGTCATTTCTTTTAAATGTTTTTAATATTTTTTTTCTATATATAATAGTCGTTCCCACGCCATCTTCACAATCACATTGGAGCAGATGCATAAACCAAATCAAATATTCTCTGTCGATGGCATGCCTCTCGAGGATATAAATGAGGATTGTCTATTTGCAAAACTCCATCTTGTTGATCTCGCCGGATCAGAGCGGGCCAAGCGCACAGGTTCAGATGGTCTACGATTTAAGGAAGGTAGTTTGTATTCCTAATATTTCTTGACGGTTAAAAGTTGCTCTAAAAATTTATAATATTGTTTCCTTGTATTTTTTTTATTTTAAGGTGTTCATATTAACAGAGGGCTACTAGCTTTAGGCAATGTAATAAGTGCTCTTGGTGATGAGAAGAAGAGGAAAGATGGTGCTCATGTTCCTTACAGGGACAGCAAACTTACTAGGCTTTTGCAGGTATCTCTCATGATTTTCATGCTATTTATTCTAGGTACAAAGTAAAGTTTTAATACTAACTGAAGTTTTAGTTTGGAACTCCCTTATGGAGTTTTTATTTAAAGATTATAACCTTTTTTTGACAAATTTATTTTCAATTAAACCTTTGTGCATGCTTTAAGACTACAGAATTTCAAATTGTAAATTTAAGGCTTATGTAAAGTATGGAGAAATCGGTTTTCTGGAATTTAACTTTAAATTCACCTCTATTGCCTAGAAGTGCATAGTTGAAATTCTATAAGAGTTAAGTGAGGCCTGTTTGGTACTGTTAAAAAGAAGGTGCATTTACATACCATAAAATTCTTATGTATTTACATATCCAACACCAAAACTTTAAAATTTACATTCATAACACTCAAATCTATTAACTTTTTAAAATTCAAATGCACCTTTTTATGCATATTAGTTTATGTCACCATGGTGTTGTAAATATAAATATCAAACTTTAAATGTTAGATATTTAAATTCATAAGAATTGTGTGGTATGTATGTAAATCTCCAAACAAAGAATTGGCTCTGATGAAAATTTGAACAATGGTAAGTTTATAGTTCTCGCATTTAAATTGAGTCTCATCCTCTCTGCAATTTAGTAGCCAACTCAAGAAACAGTACCAAAGTTCTTTTCAACACTATTTTTATTGCATGGATCCGATTATCAGATTCAATTATGAACAAAATATACTTTTTTGACCTTAAAATCTATCTTTTTGAAGCACCTAACATGCTTAAAAAGTTTATTACAATGAAAATTTATCCATTTAGTAGCCACTGCCCTCTTGCGCTAATTTTGATAAGGATAGAATGATAAATTTCAAAACTTGATTGATACTGTTCATAATTGAGCTTTGAGTTGGAATGCGTAAATTTTGATTAAATATGGGTTTTCTTGTTGAATGCATTGTTTTCTCTTATTATTTTTGTAATTTAAACTTGGTTGCAGGATTCACTTGGTGGAAACAGCAGGACTGTTATGATAGGTAACTAATCCTGAATTTGACTCTGAATCAATGACTAGTTCTTCAATATTTATGACCTATTGCTGCTTTATCCCTTCTGAGTCAGCATCTTTTCCAGCATCCAAATATTTGGTGAGGGGAGGCTTAAGACCATGAGATTTTCTTTCCATCATGGATTAGAGAAAAGTGTCAAAATGGTCCCTTGACTCTTTGAAGTGGGTCATTTTAGTCCCTGAATTTATAAAAATGTCAATTTAAGTCTGCAGACTCTTTTAATGTGAGTTGAATTGAAAACGCACCTGGCCTGTTTGGGTAAATTGCGTTTTGGCAGCTTATGCGTTTTCAAAAACGCAGAAAACAGCGTTTTCACACGAAGCTTATTGGCAACGGTCTGGCTTTTCCAAAAAAAGGAAAATTTGTAATAGCCATCGCACCTAGCTTATCAGTAGATTATTTTTAATCAGCTCATCAGCCTATTATTCAATAAACTACAGCTGCCCCAAACAGACCCTTAGTCTGCAGACTCTTTTAATGTGAGTTGAAATAGTTAATAGTAAGACTATTTCATCCCCCATTAAAATAATCTAGTGGCTAATTCTGCGTTTTTATAAAGTTTTGGACTAAAATAAGCTTATGTAAATAGTCAGGGCACTATTTTGGCACTTTACTCTCATGGATGATATAGATTGTCTTAACATTTTTAATGCTGTCTTTGGTTGGACAGTAAAAAATCTTTTGGTTTTTGCTTTCTTTTTTACTCCAACGGATGCTTAGAATAAGCACAGTAAAAAAAAGGTTTTTAAAGATGATAAACATCATCTACATTTAGAAAACAAGTGAATGCTTGGTTGATAGTAAAAAATCTTTTTTTTCACAATTTTTTTTCCTCCAACAACTGCTTGGAAGAAGCACATTAAAAGAAAAAGAAGGGTTTTTGAAGATGATAAACATCATTTACATTTTAGAAAACAAGTGGGTGTTTGGTTGGAAAGTAAAAACTCTATCTTCTTTTTCAACATCTTTTTGACTCCAACAGATGCTTAATTAGAACAAGCACTACAAAAAAAAATACATTTTTTTCAAAGATGATAAACATCATCTACGTTTTAGAAAACAATTACTTTTGCGCTGCATAAATACTTTCCTAATTGCATAAACACTTTTTTCCTCCGCCAGCTTGCATCAGTCCGGCAGACATCAATGTTGAGGAAACTCTTAACACACTTAAATACGCTAACCGTGCTCGAAACATTCAAAATAAGCCCATTGTAAGCTCTTTCTAATTGTTAGTTTTGATGTAATTTTTGCTCTAATGGAGCTCCTTTCTTTAGCATGGAGAAGCTTTTGTTTACTTAACGTTTTTTTTCCCTTTCAGGTTAATAGGAATTTGATGTCGAATGAGATGCAGAGGATGCAGCAACAGCTAGAGTACTTGCAAGCGGAACTACTATGTGCTCGCGGCGGAGGGGTGTCGAATGACGAAGTTCAGGTTTTTATTGAGCTATATGTTTCTGTATTATTATTGATATTCTTATTAAGGGCATTTACTTATATAGCACAAAATTCTTATCTATTTACATATTCACACCTAAACTTATATATTTACAAACATAATACTCATTTTTAAAATCACATAAAAAATGGCACTTTTATCACTTTCTAAAAGTGATAGTACACCTTTTAATGTGTAGGTTTAAAGTACTAAAGTTCTATTTATGTAAATATGAAAGTTTAGGTGTAAGATACGTGAATATATAAGACTTGTGTGCTGCGTAGGTAAAATTCCTTTATTATTATTATTATTATTATTATTATTTGATATTATATGGCTTTAAAATTGTGAAAATGTCATCCTGTAGGCTCTCAAGGAGAGAATTTCATGGCTTGAAACAACCAATGAAGATCTTTGTCGGGAACTCGATGATTATCGCAGCAGATTCTCTCTACCAGAACATTTTACTACTGAGAATCAAGTATGTCATTGGATAATCTTTTATTTCCTTTTGTATTTTTTTAGAGCCATGAACATACATCCCATTCAATTCCTACGTATTTACATATCTCCCATCTAAACTTTGCTTTTCACATTTAAACCATCCAAATCTTTCATATCACATAAAAAAAATATCACCATTTTAACTTTTAAAAGGTGAAAGTTACCTTTTTATGCATGGTTACGGCTGTGTAAGTAAAAATTGAAGTGTAGGTGTTTGATATGTAAATACATGTGAATTGAGTAGTATGTAGGTAAAGCTTCCTTTTTCATCTTTGTAAACTTTATTTTCAATAAATTATGGCCGTTTACTTAATATCAGACAAGATTTGTACCTTATGATGATATGAAACAAAATTGCATAAAGATTGTTTTTGCCATTTATTTCAGAAATATAGAAGCAATTTAGGCCAAATGGAAGGGTTGAAGAGAAGCTTGAGCACAGAGTCTTTTGACTATCAAATGGCTGAAAGCCTCAGAGGTATGCTCCTTTCACCTTTATTGTAATATTTATTTGAGTCAGCCTGCTTCCATGCTCTCATTATTTTGTTCTAAAACTTGAGGGGCTGTTTGGGGTCATTTTTATTTATTTTTGTTTCATTTTTTATATCTTGATTGAAACAAAATATGTTTGGCTATTTGATTAAACTATAATTTTTTTTAATAATCAGAACACCTAAAAGTTGTTTCCAGTGATTTCAAAAACATTTTAATTTGCAAAATAAAAACATGTAAAAAACACACTAACCAGATAAATTTTTAAAACAAAAACAGAATTAATCCCAAACAAATCCTAAACATTTTCCTTAAACATATTTTGCTATAATTAGCTCTAATCTGCAGGTGATAACTATAAGGAGGTTGATGAAGAGGCAGCCAAAGAATGGGAGCATACTATGTTGCAGGATACGATGGGGAGGGAATTGAATGAGTTAAATAAACGTCTTGAGCAGAAAGAGGTAATTCTCGATGATCCACATTGAGAATTTTTGCTTCGCTTGTTCCACAAATAATTTTACAGACTAATGCTATAAATTTTTAGATATAAATTTCACCATTGCTCGAATTTAATTAGTAATTTTAACTAGTAATTCTCTTAGGTTTCATATAGTTACAAATATGCATGTGAAGTAGTTTGGAACGCATTACTTTTCATTATTTGCATCAATCCAAAGTATAAATGATTTGGTATTTGAGTTATCTAAAACTTCTAATTTATGTATAAACGTTTTTCCTTCATGATTTGTAGGCATCTACTTGTTTGATGCATGAAAATAGATAATATTATAACTAACGAGCTTTTTTCCACTATTTTTCCTCATCCTCATATAGTATTTCCAACAACCACAAAATGTTTTAATTTAACGACAATAGACTATTTTTATACATAATGGAAAGCTAATCAAGTGTGAAGAAGCAATGAAATAATAATATTTTAAAGCAAGAGGTTGGGTGTAAGGAGAGAGGAGGGAAAAATTGAGTTCTCATGCATTGTTATACAACAAACCAAGAATTTCATTTTTAATTTGGTATCACCATATTCAAGTAGGCTAGGTTTACCCAAATTTCTCTCTTTGATAAGCTTAGGGTCTGTTTGGAGCAGCTGCTGCTTATTGAATAATCTGCTGATAAGCTAGGTGCGGTAGCTATTACAAATTTTTATTTTCTTGGAAAAGCCAGACCACAGCTAGAAAGCTCCCACCGCACCTAGATAAGTGCGGCGCGAAAACGCTCTATGTCACGGACTCGCATGTGAAAAGAGAGATTATTGAGATCCATATGAGAATGGAAATTAGTACATTTAAAAAAAACAGCAATTGAATTTCTCTTATACTAGTTGTGATCCTTACTCATAAGCCTAAGTTTTTGTGTTGATGAATGCCAAGCCAACAGTATATTGGATTCAACTCGAGCCTTCAATTTTCCACACTCCTGACATTGCATTGGCATTAAGTATAAAGAAAGACGAAGCTTCTTCTTACCTTACCATGTTGTGTCAAGTTTTGTAAGCTTGTGTCAATTTCAATTCTATTGTGAGACGTTTTTGTTGGACTGATGAGGATGTTATATTTTCATAATAAGAAGCTGTTTTTTTATATGGTGGCCTTTGTTCTTTTCTTTCACATTGCTGAAATTTAATAAACATGACAACCATGCTTAATACATTGCTACATGAATTTCTTAAAATGGCAAGAATAGTTTCTCTTTTGCAAGACCATATAAGGATTTAGCTTGTTCGAAGTGACACTAATGTTACCCTTAGTATCTTGATTAAATAAAAATTCTCCCTTTGCATGTTTTGATAACTCCTTTAGCTTTTTTGGCTCATTATCATTTTCGATAGAGGAATGTAAAAAAATATATGTATAAATTAGTCAATAAAGAGAAAAAAAGTAAAAATTTAATTATGTAAAGTTTATTAAAAATGAAAATAAATAAAAATGATTTTCTTAGAGGAAGACATATGTGGGTGAGCTATTTTGATAAAATTTTCAATGATATTTCTGAAAATATAATTGACCTTTGTGATCTTAATATCATTAATAACAATAAAATAATTTATTTTTACTGTCACATTAGTAAAAAAGACATTGAGGAGACTTTAAAGAAAATCAAGAGTGCAAAATCAGTAGGACCTGATAATATCTCAAATGAAGCGTGAAAATGATTTGAGAGTTTCTTGGCTTACCAAACATTTGAATATTCTTTTAAGAACTAAATGGATGGTTGAGGATAGGAGGAAGAGTATTTTGGTCCTCATTTTTTTAAAAAAAGTGGATGCACAAGAGTGTACAAATTATAGAGAAATTAAGCAGATGTGTCATACTTTAAAATTATGGGCGAGAGTAATCGAACATAGGTTAAGATATGATACAAAGATTTCTCATAATCAGTTTGGATTTATGTAGTTAAGGAGGATCTACATATGATTTTTCTTGGTATAGCAAAACTTACAGTAAGGTTCTAAGAGAAGTCTTTTGGAGAGTTCGAGAGAAGAAAGGTGTTGATATGACTTATATTCAAGCCGTTAAAGATATGTATACTAGAGCTGTTACTAATGTTTGAACATAAGGAGGATTGACCAAGTATTTTCTTATTTTAGTTGGATTACATTAGAGATTGACCTTAAGCCAAATCCTTTTTCTTTAGCTATGGATGTTCTTATAGGACATTACAGGAGGATGTACATTGGTGTATGCTTTCCACTGATGATATCCTTCTTGCGAATAATACTATAGAAAGAGTTCAAAAAAACTTGAATTATGGAGGCCTACATTGGAGTCTAAAGGCCTTCATTTGAGTAGGTGTAAAATTGAATACATGGAATGTACTTTTAGTAGTAGTAACTTTAGTGACAGAGTTGTAACTATGGGTTATCAAATCATTAAAAAGTGAGATCATTTTAGATATCTCGGGTCTATAGTTCAAAGTGGTGGTGATACATACAGGGATGTTATTAGTAGAATTCAAGTTGGTTGGTTGAAGTGAAGGTATGCATCAGACCTACTGCGTCGTAGAAAAGTACTGCTTAGACTAAAAGGAAAATTTTATATGATGGCGATGAGACCTGCAATGCTCTATGGCACAAAATATTGGCCTTTAAAATTGAAGCACACAAAAAAGATAAGTGTTGCTAAAAGATGACAATGATTAGGTAGATGAGTGGCTTGACACTTAGAGACAAAATGTGAAATGAAAATATCCGTGATAGGATTGGCTTAATTCCAGTGGTTGACAAGATTAGAGAGAGTCGTCTTAGATGGTTTGGTCACATTAAATGGCGATTATCTGAAGATCCTGGAAGGAGAGTATATATTTTAGATTAGACTTATATTAAGAAAGACATAGTTAAAACCTAAAAAAATTGGTCTTAGAGTATAAAAAATAACTTTAATTTGTTAGAATTAGATTAAAAATATGACGCTCAATAGGGCACAATGGAGAAAAAATGATTCATTTACCTGACTCCACTTAGTGGGATAAAGGCTTGTTGTTATTGCTAGTTTTTTCTTTTATGGGGAATTTTGTGTTAAAATTTAGAATGAAAAGTATGAATTATTTAATTATTTTGTAAAATAATAATATTATTCTAGTTATAATTAATTGTTGTGATGTCAAAATGAGCAAAAATGAACTAGTATTTCTCAATAACTTTAGTATGATGTATAAATTACATGCATTATGCTTTTGAAGGTTGAATTTTGTGTTTACTTTTTAGAAGCTTTGTAGAATGGTTTATGCAAAATAATTTTTAAATATCTCATGAAACAAATCATGGGTGGATAGAGAATGAAGATTTTCAATTTTAAATAGCTGGGATAAGCTAAACCCAAGTAGTTGAATATGGCTAATTATCTTGAAGATCAATTCTTTGATAGAAATAAGTAGAGTTCAAGCCGAATTGATGATAAAATAATATTTAATATTTGAGGATTTCAACAAGAATTTAGGAATTAACATAATCAGAAATCAAACCAATTACTTTTCACAAAGTCAGGTAAATCACCACAAACTTTTCGATCCAAACCCAAAAGAATTTCGATCACATATTCAAACAATGCATAAATTGCACTCTAGCTGAAGCTGCAATTAAATTGTTTCTTTGAATTGGCTAGAAAATACAACTTTGGTTGAATTTTTGATTTTTTTTCCACTTGCAAAAGCCTTATTTAATAATTCTCTTTCAATACTGGCTTTGCACTTGGAACATCTTTAGTTGTATTGCAATTTGTATGTTGTATGAGTGCCTTTCACTATATAATTTTGCAAAATGAAATTTTGCATTATGGTTCCTTCTTTTAATATATATTCATATGAAAAGTTAGTACTTTGTTTTGATCTCAATGCATTCCCTGGATCAGTTAAGGAAGGAAGGTAGGAGAAATGAATATGAAAGACATAAACTTCAAGCCTTGAATCAGAGACAGAAAATGGTAAATTAAAAACTTTCCATTTGAGAAATTCATGTAATTCTTTATTATAAAATGGATCTTGTAGCTGATCCATCAAGCATGAAAAGCAATATAATAAGATTTTTCAACATTGTTTTTTCAGGTTCTTCAGAGGAAGACAGAAGAGGCTGCCATGGCCACCAAAAAGCTGAAAGAGTTGCTCGAAGCTCGCAAAGCTTCGGCAAAGGATAATTCCGGTTTGCTTATTAACTTTATGCCTTCTATATTATTAACAATTTTATTTTTATAAGGGGCATTTACATACATATCACTCAATTCCTATGTATTTACTTATCTAACAACCAAACTTTAGTTTTTTTACATTTATACCGCCCAAATTTTCATATCCCACATAGATAAGGTGAAAAACATCTTTTCATGCATAGATAAGGTGAAATTTATGTAAAAAATGAATTTTAACTGTTAGATATGTAAATACATAGTAATTGAGTGGTATGTCTGTAAATCAATTCCTGATAATAATATTTTTTGTTTGCAGTTATGTCAAATGGAAGTCCACCAGGAAGTCAGGTAACCACTGCTGTGTTCTGTTTGTAACCTTTCTTAAACAAAATTTTATGAAATAAAAACATAATTTACACATTCTGAATTTTTCTTCTGCAAAGTACAGATGAATGAGAAGCCGTTTCAGCGGTGGCTCGATCATGAACTTGAGGTCATGGTGAACGTGCATGAGGTTCGCATAGAATATGAGAAGCAAAGCCAAGTGTATGTAAAACTGAGAAGCCGTTTCAGCGGTGGCTCGATCATGAACTCGAGGTCATGGTGAACGTGCATGAGGTTCGCATCGAATATGAGAAGCAAAGCCAAGTGTATGTAAAACTAACTAAGAATATTAAAGTATTTCTCTCCGAAGTGGTTCAAGAGAACTATTTTGTATCTTTTCTGATTGTTTTATTTTCTTTCAGACGTGCCGCCCTTGCAGAAGAGATTGCTATGATCAAACAAGAAGGAAAGAATGGGCAGGCTCGGTAAATCTTATCTAAACAAAAATAATCAAAATGATCTCTCAAGTATTTGCAAGGGGGGCAAAATGGTCTCAAACTATGTAAAAGGCCAATTTAGCCCCAAGAGGATTGAAATCGGAACTAAAATAGTCTCTAGATTGTTTAAATGGGGACTAAAAATGTCCGTTGGGACTATTTTGTTTCTTATTTAAATGAGAAAAGTGTCAAAATTGTCCTCTAAGTCTTTGTAGCGTAGTCATTTTAGTCCCAATCAGGGCTATTTAAGAGTCTGGAGGCTAAGTTGATACTTTTATAAACTCTAAGACTAAAATGACACTATTGTAAAAAGTCGGAGGACTATTGTGGCACTTTACTCCTATTTAAATAGTCTAGAGATTGATTGACCTTTTACATAATATGAGACCATTTTCGCTCCTTCAAAACAATTTGGAAACCATTTTGGTACTTTTTTTCTACTATCTAATTTTCCTAAAAGGAATCTAGCGCTGACATTTAATTTATTTTCTACCAGAGTGTCCAATATGTCGCCAAACGCAAGATTAACAATGCTCACATCGCTTGAGAACATGGTGAGCATGTCATCAAATGCTCTCGTAGCGATGGCCTCTCAGCTTTCGGAGGCTGAGGAACGAGAGCGAGCATTCACCAGCCGTGGTCGGTGGAATCAATTGCGATCAATGGGAGATGCAAAGAATTTGCTTCAATACATGTTTAATGTTGCTGCCGATGCAAGGTAGGCTCCAAAATTTTTTAGAAAAATTTATGTATATACCACTCAATTCTTATGTGTTAACATATCTAATTTTTACATACAAGCCCGCCTTACCTATGCATAAAAAGATGCATTTCAATTTTAAAAAAATAAAAGCGGTGGTATTTTTTATGTGATATGAAGATTTGGGTGTTATAAATGTAAAAAAAATAAAGTTTAGTTTTTAGATATGTAAATACATAATAATTGGATGGTACGCATGTAAATACCCAAATTTTTTTCTTATTTTACTTGATCATGTCTAAAGCAATCTAATGATGGTAATTTAAACCAACCAGATGTCAGTTAAGGGACAAGGAAATAGAGATGAAGGAGTTGAAGGAGCAACTGAATGAGCTCGTTGGTATTCTCCGACAGAGCGAAGCAAAGAGGAAGGAGCTCGAAAAACAGCAAACATTGAAAGAACAGACCGTTTACATGGAAATGGCGAATACGCCTCCGGTAATGAAAATCTCTATCAAGTTCAATTTATAAGATTTTTGATGAAAAATAGAAGTTAATTCAACACAATGTGGTTTTATGCATATGAAACTTTTACAATTTATTGAAATAGAAGTTAATTCAACACAATGTGGTTTTATGCATACTTTTACAATTTATTGAAGGAGCATTTACATACATATCACATAATTCTTAAGCATTTACCTAATCTAATACCTAAACATTCATATTTATATGCATACCAACCAATTCATCAAGTGCTCTTAAAATCATGGGGCATTTACATGCATACCACTCAATTCCTATGTATTTACGTATCTAAAAACTTCAATTTTTACATTTATATCATTCAAGATCACATAAAAAATACCAAAATTTACTAAAAACTTCAATTTTTACATTTATATCATTCAAGTCTTTCACATCACATAAAAAATACCAAAATTTTAACTTTTAAAACGTGAAGCACATGTTTTCATGCATAAGGTGGTATTTATGTAAAAAATTGGAGTTTCTAGATATGTAAATATATAGGAATTGAGTGGTATGTATCTTAATCATCCTGAAAACATTATCTTTGAACCCAAAAGTTGTGTTTTATTTGATATTTTTAAAAAGCAAAATTCATCATCCTAATGAATTCATTCTCTCAGTCGAACACAAATGGTTCATTGAAACACTCGGCTGACGAAACCAACACGCCGGCTTCTCCAATCGCCATACCTGCACAAAAGCAGCTGAAATACACACCAGGCATCGCGAACGGGCGAGGAAGAGAAACCGCAACCTTTACCAACCAACCATTAAAGGTTTAACTCATCCCCTTTAAAGCTCGGACATATGGCACATAATTCTTGTAAATTTACATATCTAACGCCTAAATTTTCATATTTACACACATAGCTCTAGAATCTTTAATATCACATCAAATTTAGCACTATTACCACTTTTTAAAGGTGAAATATGTATTTTCAAGCATAGGTTTAAATCACGAAAATACTATTAAATATGAAAGTTTTGATGTGAGCTATTTATACACATAAGAATTGTGTGCTATCCATGTAAATTTTAAAGAGGCATTTACACAAATACCATCCGATTCTTATGTATTTTTACACTCCTAAACTTTACTTCTTACATTTATGCCATCGAAATCTTTCATATGACTAAAAAATATCACTATTTTAACTTTAAAAAAGTGAAATACACCTATTGATATACATGTAAGGTGGCACATTTGTAAAAATTGAAATCTACGTGTTAGATATATAAATACATAAGACTTGAACCGTATGTATGTAAAGCTTCCAAATCTTGAAATTTACAAAATAGTTATTGTTTTGTGTAGCTGGTGCCTCTTGGTCAGGCATCCATAGGTAAGAAGATGGCAGTAGGAAGCCAAGGAGGAAAGCTATGGAGATGGAAAAGGAGCCATCACAGATGGCTAATACAGTTCAAATGGAAGTGGCAGAAGCCATGGAGGTTGTCTGAGTTGATAAGGCTTAGCGACGAGACGATCGTTAGAACGAAGCCCAGAATCTTACCAGCTCGAGACACGAATCTTCGACGCACGACCCTCATAGATGCCTAAACCTCCTAACTATTTTTACAGGGTTTTTACATAAGATTTATAAGAAAGGCTCTGACTGAATCAAAGCTCTCATGGCATTGGTGGCATCTTTTGTAAATATGATGGTGGCGCCTTCCTTCATATTTCAGTTGGTGAAAAATGAGATTTTTTTTTTTTTTTGATTTTTTTTTTTAGTTTTATAGATCTGTATGGAATTTGTATTCCTTTGGTTGGTTTTGTTATATTGGTTTTATGCACTGGAAGCATATTATTGTAAAGTGATTTTAATGTCAGTGTTCCTCCTCTTTACTTCTACCTTCAATTAGTATGATGATTTCATGATATTGAAGCTTCAATGCTTGGGATAAATTTTCTTATAAGAAAAGAAAAGGAAAAGATCATTATTGTATGATTGAATTAATAGAGTTGTTCAGCTTATTTATTGCTTCTTATGGATCTGTGAACCTAACTCTCAGAAGGTGGGACTGAAAAGAATTTGAAGTTTTACATTTTTCATCTTCCTTCTTCAAATAATAGTATCCCAAATTCTTATGGTCTGTTTGGAGCAGCTTTATCGATTTGAACAAGCAGTTATGGAAATGTTCCACATTTTGTCAAGTCAGGTTGTAAAATGTAGCTTATCATTATAATTTTTTTGAAAAAGCAAGCATAACGTATATTACTAAGTGTATGAAGGTATGATGAAGCATCGTACCATTACATGACGCTGCCCTAAATGAAGCCTTACTTGCATAATCTTTAATTATATTAGACTATAAAAATGCAAAAGGGATAACTTCAAATTTTGAGCTCTTCGCTTCAAAATTTACTGTTACAAAAACCTCTGAAGCCATTTTGTTCTCAACTCAGTGTATGTATATTCATTTCTTAAAATTAATCAAGTATTTATAAAAATATTTACACATTAATTTATATATTATGACTCATTTATAGTATATTTATTAATTATTAATTATTAATCCATAAAATTATTACAACAACAACAAGCCTTTATCCCACTATGTGGGGTCAGTTACATAAATCCTTTTTGTCCATTACGTCCTATTGAGTGCCATATTTTCATTTAATTCTAATAAATTAAGATCAATTTTTATATAATATGCCCAAATCTTTCTAGGCCTATCTCTACCTTTCTTAACATAATTCAAATCTAAAACATTTACTCTCCTAGTTGGATCCTCCGATGGTCGATGTTTGATGTGAACAAACTATCTAATAAAACTCTCTCTAATTTTGTCCACCTCTGGAGCTACGTCAACCTTTTCAGAGATATATTCATTTCACAATTTGTCTTTAAGTGTAAAGCCACTCATCCGCCTAAGTAATCTCATCTCGACAACACTTAACTTAGTTTTATGCTTCTCTTTTAGAGGCCAAAATTTTATGCCACCTACTTAGTTTTATGCTTCTCTTTTAAAGGCCAAAATTTTATGCCACCTTATAAAATTTTTCTTTCAGTTTAAGTGGTACTTCTCTATCATACAATAGGCTCGAAGCATTCATCCACCTATGCTTCTCTTTTAACATGCTGCAATTTTGTATGCATTACTAAGGTTGATTTAATACACTTTACTTGAGTTAAATATTTACTTTTTTTTTCCTTTTTTATACTAATGTTTAATACACTTTACTCGAGTTAAATATTTACTTTTTTTCCTTTTTTATACTAATGATTTCACTTTCTTTAGTATCTAATTTATTATAAAGATCACTAAAAACAGAATTTTTAACATCATGGATTGTTCACTTTGACTCCCTACGAGTCATTTAAATTTTTTTTTTCAGTTCTCTAAGCTTATTACAATTTATGTTCTCTTGCACATTATTTCACCACAAACTATTTTTATTTATAGAAAATTTTCTTTTTGATTATCCAAGTACAACTTTTGTCATTTATATAAAATAGAGCTTGTTACTTTATCCCACATAAAGTTTGGTTCTTCACGAGTATCCCAAATCTTGAAATCTTGAAATGTACTTATAGAAGTTTACTCATAAAAATAATTTTATTTATCTCTTAAGTGCCTCCATCTAATTCTATGACAATGATTCTTAGTATTATTTATTTTACAACTCTTTGTCTTAAAATCCAAAACTAATAATCGATGTTGAGTAGTTGAATTATCACTTTTATATTCTCAACGATATCTTTTTCTCATAAGAAAATAATCAATTTGTGTTTTATTAAATCTATTATTATAAGTAATGGTATGGTAATCTCTTTTCTTGAATAAACGCAAAAATAAAATCTAATATGGCTTTACCTTCTTCATTAATCACTCCAAAACCATAGTCATCTTGACTATTTCTAAAATCTTCTACCACTCTATAGACATCTCCATTTAAATCTTTTCTAATAAAAATTCTTTCGCCAAGAGATATCATTTTTATTAATTTTTCTAAGTCATTCTAAAATTTTTCTTTAAAACCTATATCTAAACCTACTTGAGGAGAATAAACACTCATAATATTAAAAATCTTAATATCAACAACAATCTTAAGGGTTATAATTCTATTTTCAACTCTATTTATTTTCAATCTACAATTATAATTACACAATTTCTAATGTGACTCTTACCTTAATACCAAAAACTAAAACGTAAGCTATCAATTTCCTAAGTATTTTCTTCATCCCATTTAGTTTCTTGAATACATAAGATATTTATTTATCTTTCTATGAATAATAATATCAACTAATTTTATTAACTTATCTATAAGAATACCTATATTTGAATGCCCTATCTTAATATTAATTTCATCGACAAACTTTTTTACTCACATCCATCTTTAATGTGAAAATTCTTACTTATTTGACATTACACCCACGTGCCGGTGTAGTTGCATTTGCACACTTTTCAACGTATTCAAGACATACATTGCGTCGCTTATGAGAGACGTCCTAGCATTGACACAATGATCTAAATAATCTATTCCATGATTCTTTGATAAATTTTGCACTAAGTGTCGACCACCTAACGCAATCCTTCATTTTTCACATCCGAGGCTTAAGACTACAATGACAGTATTATTCATAAAACTATTAAAATCAACAAATAAAAAATTAATAAATCATGAACACTACTCATCTGCTTGCAAACCTCACTCCCCCTCTCATTTCACCCCAACCATCTCTTATATGATGCCCGAAACCCTCAATATGCAATCACTAATACTTATGTATTTGATTAAAAAAAAAACCAGCTTGTAAATTTAATTTGTATAAAATAATTAGATACAAATTCAGAATTTATTTAGAAAATCTAAAAATTCATTTGCATTTTCAACTTGTCTATAAACTCATTTAAATACTCATTCTCTTAACATAAACAAATCAATCTTGAACATCATGTGAAGGATAAATACCCAAAACAAGAGAGAGAGAGAGCGTGAGAAAGGAGAAATAGAGCATAAGTCAACACATAACGATCTTTTCAGAAAACGCAAAACACAAACATGGTCTCACGGCCAAGCCATACAAACAGGTGTCACAATCAAATGAATGCCAAATCAAACAAAAGCAAATATTTAAATGATTCATAAGGTACGATAATTATAATGATTATTATTGTTACTTGGGAGTTCAGGAAACAAGGCCAGGATTGAGAGAGAGTCCGGCGAGCTGATCCGTGGCGGTTCGGAGTGGGGGCGCACCAGCGCTATCCTTGAGGACCTCCAGAGCCTCACCAACCTTGGCCTTGAGAGCTTCGGGAGACTCCAGCAGGTGCAGAACTTCCGTTTGATCCAATTCCAAAAGCATTCCAGTTACCTTTGCTGAATTCTCACGCTCCATCTCGTACACCAGAGGATACAGATTCTCCCCAAGAATCTGCAACCAAATTAATAATATATTAAGTAAAATTGCAGCAGGTTAACAACTTTATTGCGGCTTTCAACTACATTTTTTTGGGGCTTTTACATGCATACAACCCAATTCTTATGTATTTACATATCTAACACCCAAATTTTACCTTTTGCATCCATGCAACCCAAAACTTTCATATCATATCAAAGATATAACCATTTCAAATTTTAAACAGTGAAATATGCATAAGATAAGCTGGCATGTAAATACATAGGACTTAAGTGGGTATGTATGTAAATCTTCCCAAGTTTTTATAATTAAATCTATTATGATCTGGTTATTGTAAGAAAATCACTCTTTGATCTTTATTTTATGACAGCTTTAACAGAATCGTTTGTTTTTCATAATAGTTTTAGAGACAGCTAGAGGCACGCCAAACAAAACCTAAGAATAAATTTGAGGCAACTTTCTCATAGCTGTAGTTTTTCAGTAACAATAACAATCCTCATTCGCTACAGTTTTTTTTTTTTAATTTTATTTCGTGCAAATTATTATGGCTGCAAAAAAAACCTTAGCAACCAAATCTACTAGATTGTGGGGGCAATTACATACATACCACATTTCTTATGTTAATACATATCGAACTCATAAGATTTCAATATTTAGGTACATAACACTCAAATCATTAATATCACATCAAAAATATCAAATTTATTTATTTTTAAAAGTATAATATACATTTTCATGTGTAGGTCTATGACACCAAGTGTTCATGTAAATATAAAAGTTTTGGTGTTAGATATGTAAGTACGTAAGAAGTGTGTGGTATGTAAATTTCCCAAGATTATTAAACACCCTAACTACTAAAAAGAACTACTTTTCCTAAAAACGGTACATAACACTCAAATCATTAATATCACGTCAAAAATATCAAATTTATTTATTTTTAAAAGTATAATATACATTTTCATGTGTAGGTTTATGACACCAAGTGTTAATGTAAATATAAAAGTTTTGGTGTTACATATGTAAATACGTAAGAAGTGTGTGGTATGTAAATTTCCCAAGATTATTAAACACCCTAACTACTAAAAAGAACTACTTTTCCTAAAAACGGTTCCAAAACAAATTTACAAAAAGTAACAACCGCCCCCAAAGGAACCTCGAGTAAGAAAAAAAATGTACCATCCTCTGCTGATCTGGGGTTGCATTGGCAAGAGCCGTGGTCATCGAATCAACAGAAGTTGTCTGCATCATAGCACCATCCCCTGCCGGCCAACCCCCCATGTCATAAGCAGATGGCATTCTGCCTGTGAAACCGCCCGGCATCGGAACATCAAACCCATTTCGTCCGAGAGGGTAACGATAGCCACCACGTCCTCGAGGAAGCATCTGAAATTCACAGGCTTGTAATTAGCACTCATGGCTGTCAAAGAAGAATATCAGCGCGAAAATACTCACCTGATGATGCACAATTGGGAGAGGCCGTTGTGGTTGGATTGGACCCATCGTGGGATGTATGAGACTCGGTCGTTGAGCTTGCGGAGCTTGTTGACCCAATGGCATTAAGAAATTTGGCATTGGTACCCCTCCAGGTCTGACTCCGGATAGTAACTGCTGCTGGAAGCCAAAACCAGTCTGCAAGGAATATCAGTTTAATTTAATTTATTCATTGATGTCCAGAATTTGCTAAATATATGGTTTAATTGTGGTTAAACTTAAAAGAGTACTAATATGGGCAGGAAAAAATAGGAACATTTATGTCCATAATACACAATTCCTATGTAATTAGATATTTCACACCTATACTTCAATTTTTACATTTGTCACTTTACCTGTGCATTAAAAGATGTATTTTATTATTTAAAAATCAAAATATTGATATTTTTGATATGATATGAAAGATTTAAATTATATGTGTAAAAAAGTAAATTTTAGGCCTTAGATAAGTAAAGAATATACACCAAAGGCTCCTGTACAAACTCGCACTCAAGCTGAGCACTCCAACAAAATTCAAAAAAAGCTGAACTTTTTTGACAGCAGAACGTATATGCTGTGGCTTCCTGTCGATTTATAAAAGGAAGATATACATACAAACCACTCAATTCTTGTGTATTTATATATAGGACTATCAAAATGACTCATTATTCGCAAACAACTCGTATTTGGCTCGTTGTTCGCAAACAACTCGTGTTTGGCTCATTAAACAGCTAGTGCTCGATTCATTCGCTAAACGAACGAGCCAAACACACATTTTTTTTGCATTTGATATACAAACAAGCTCAATATAAACAAAGATTTGCTTGCTCATATTCGGCCCAATTTGGCTAGAGATAATTATATATATATATATATATATATATATATATTTTCTATAAAAAAATAC